TTCAACTTCCTGAAGGGAGGTTCCAAAGAGGATGGAGAGAGGCTGGTTTCAGTAGTGACAGATGGTAAAACAAGGAGCAATGATCTCAAGTTGTGGTGGGAGAGGTCCAGGTTGGATATTAGGAAAGCTATTTCACTAGGAGGGTAGTGAAGCACTGGAATGGGTTACCTAGCGAAGTAGTGAAGTCTCCATCCCTAGAGGTGTTTAAGTCTCAGCTTGACAAAACTCTGGCCGGGTTGATTTAGTTGGGATTGGTCCTGCCTAGAGCAGGGGGCTGGACTTGATGACCTTCTAAGGTCTCTTCCAGCTCTATGTTCTATGATTCTATGAATATCTAAATCATTGACGAAGATATTGAACAGAGCCGGTCCCAAAACAGACCCCTGCGGAACCCCACTTGTTATACCTTTCCAGCAGGATTGTGAACCATTAATAACTACTCTCTGAGTATGGTTATCCAGCCAGTTATGCACCCACCTTAGTAGCCCCATCTAAGTTGTATTTGCCTAGTTTATTGATAAGAATATCATGTGAGACCGTATCAAATGCCTTACTAAAGTCTAGGCATACCACATCCACCGCTTCTCCCTTATCCACAGGGCTTGTTATCCTATTCAAGAAAGCTATCAGATTGGTTTGACATGATTTATTCTTTACAAATCCATGCTGGCTGTTCCCAATCACCTTGCTGCCTTCCAAGTGTTTACAGATGATTTCCTAATTACTTGCCCATTATCTTCCCTGGCACAGAAGTTAAACTAACTGGTCTGTAGTTTCCTGGGTTGTTCTTATTTCCCTTTCTATAGATGGGCACTATATTTGCCTTTTTCCAGTCTTCTGGAATATCTCCTGTCTCCCATGATTTTCCGAAGATGATAGCTAGAGGCTCAGATACCTCCTCTATGAGCTCCTTGAGTATTCTCGGATGCATTTCGTCAGGCCCTGGTGACTTGTAGGCATCTAACTTTTCTAGGTGATTTTTAACTTGTTCTTTTTTTATTTTACAGTGAGCCCTCGCTACTTCGCGGTTCGACCATCGCGGATTCACGACTTCGCGGACTTTTTTCCCAGCCTCAGAAACAACGTTTTTCCGCCAGCAAAGGATGGTTCGCGAAGTTTCAGAAACGCTTCGGCCTGAAAAGCGTTTCCCTGCATGGCGAGGCTGCTTCCGCTGACACTACCGCTGCTGAAACTTACGCGAATGAGACATTTAAGAATATTATCACTGAAGGTGGATACAAGCCCGAACAAGTGTTTAATATGTTTTAGTTTAGGGTACTGTAGTACATGCATTAAGTGTTCTGTACATTAAAGGGTGGTTTGTTAACAGTACTACGTAAAGGGAGGGTTTTAAAAGTCTGAATATACATGTTAAATAAATACGTAAATATGGTGTCCCTACTTCACGGATTTTCAGCTATCGCGGTCGGGTTTGGAACCTATCTACCGCGATAATCGAGGGTTCACTGTATCTTCTAAACCTACCCTCTTCCCACTAGCATTCCCTATGTTAGGCATTCCTTCAGACTTCTCAGTGAAGACTGAAACAAAGAAGTCATTAAGCATCTCTGCCATTTCCAAGTTTCCTGTTACTGTTTCTCCCGCCTCACTGACCAGTGGGCCTTCCCTGTCCTTGGTCTTCCTCTTCCTTCTAATGTATTTAGATACAAGAGAATGTTATCAATCAAAGGTGCTCTTTGAACGATCCCGGGGGGAGGGAGGGATTTCTGAACAGAGCATCTAGTCTAGGCATGCACCTGGATTCCGAATGCTTAGCTTGTGTCTGTTGTACATGAATATTAATATCTACAGTCCTTATTGTTCATCCTTAATTATTTACAATTAAACCATACATGTCCACAGTATTAAGGCCCTAACTATGAGCTGGTATTGTACTTACTTGACTGTTACTCTGTTTGATAAATCCTGAAGATCACCCGGGTCAAAAAGTTGAGATTCTTTAAGCCCAAGCTCTTTGCAGCCTCTTAAGAATAAGATGGTGTTGTCCTGAAATGAGGCAAATAAAATTTAACTTCTCTTTATTATAGAAGATTATCATAATGAATCAACCCCTCCGTTCACAAACCTAAATTTCTGGATCATTTCCAATCACTTAATCTACTTCATCCTTAATCTAGGATTACCGTATTGCCAATTATATACTAAAATTGCACTTTGCAGATTCCAAAAGTGGAAAAAAGAAACATTTTGCCTTTGAAATCCATAGCTACACCATGTTCATTCAGTTTTCTTTGTCAGAAGTCATATGGCAAGATTTTAATACATTTTTAATACATAAAAACAGCTGACTTGCAATCAAATTTACGCCAGCTCTCTGTATAGTTCTAATCCACTGCAAGCCTTGTGGCCAATGGCCACATTTGACACTTCGTCAAAAAACACAGGTATATAATATATTAATTCACCATTCTGATTGTGTTATTGTTTTACAAAAAAATGTTGCATTTACATTAACTTGCCAATTACTTCTAACTAGCATACTCAATTACTCCACTGCCCTCCATCCTGAGCCAGCCCAAAGCGGGGGGTCTCTTTTCCTCAAGCTGAAAATATGAAACCACATTTTTTAAACAATTGAGACTTTTTCTACACAAGGAGGACACACTGATTTAGTTAAACCAGTGTCCACGTAGGAATTTCCATGCTTAGGCTTGGTCTACACCTAAACCAGAGCTCTACCTAGCAACTTTGCTCAGGGGTGTGAAAATGTCAATCCCCTCAGAGATCTTGCTAAGCTAACCTAAGCCCCAATAAATCCACTGCTTGAATTCTTCTATCAATCTAGTTACCACCTCTCAAGAGGGTGGATGTACTACAGTGATAAGAAAAAAAACCCCTCTCTGTGGTCATTCTAAGGCCATGTCTACTAACAGGTTCCCATCATGCTAATTTCTTCATCCCAGAATACTATCCATATCCCATAATTTAATACCTTATTTAAAAAAAATCTCACAAATCCACATAGCACATCACACTGTCAGCCACCTTTGACAGAAGAATGGAGTCTGCACAGATCTGCACTACTGTCATAAGTATTGCAAGCACAGGATGAATGATCCACTGGTATTTACAGAGTCACAGAACAAAACCATAGCAGCAGGACATTTGCTGATTGCATGGAGGACAGCAAAATCTAAAGGAGGGTTATTATTGGCATTCATGAAGCAGCTGCAAATGGTGGAGCAATGCTTCTAGTCCTGAGAAACGGTTGCTGACTGGTGGGATTGCATCATAATGTGGGCTCGGTATGACAAAGAAGTGGTTGCAGAACTTTCGAATGTACAAGGCCACATTCCTGATGCAGAGCTCTCCCCAGACCACCACCACAGGCAGAGGAGGCTGGGTATGAGCACGGGAATCTCCCTAGAAGTGGGGGGGGGGGGCTACAACTTTCCCATGTAGCCTTTGGACCAGGGCCCCACTCCTTACTTAGCTTCCTCTGACTGCACTGCTTACTCTCCATTTCTGCTCCACCTTGATATCCTGCTCAGCCCTCTTCCCCTGAGCCTCCGTCTCCACTCTGCCTCTTCCTGCTCTGCCTCTTCCCTCAAAGCCCCCCATCTGCCACTCAGCCCCACTCTGTCCCCTCCCCTGAGGCCCCTTCTCCTAGGAGCCCTCCCATTACATGTTCCTTTCTGTCACCTCCTGCCTTCAGGACAAGCAATGGGGGAAGAGGGGTGCAGAGAAGCCAGCATCATGAGAGAAGAGAGGGTATGTCTACACTACCACCCTAGTTCGAACTAGGGTGGTTAATGTAGGCAACCGAAGTTGCAAATGAAGCCCAGGATTTGAATTTCCCGGGCTTCATTTGCATATTGCAGGGCGCCGCCATTTTTGAATGTCCCCTAGTTCGGACTCCGTGCCCGCAGCTACACGCAGCACGGACTAGGTAGTTCGGATTAGGCTTCCTATTCCGAACTACCGTTACTACTCGTGGAGCAGGGGCAGGAGAAGATAAAGTGCAGATAGGACCATGGGGGAAGCAGCCAAGTGGAAGCAGGGCCTTGGGGCAAAGTGGGTCCAAGCCATGGTCCAGGTGCCAGTGTCCTCCTTGGCTCTCAGGAACTTCACAAGCAGCATTCCCAAAGTATGGGCTGGTATGCCTTCAAAGAAAGATACGCCACATCCAGCATTACTTGCTCCATTTGGGGAAGATTATACCTGCCACCAAAGCCTCCAGCACAGGGACACCAGAATGAGCACTGCACTGACAGTGGTGAAATGAGTGTTGATTGCACTATGGAAGCTTGCAACACTGCATTTCTACTGGTTAGTGTGAAGTCATTTGGAGTTTGAGAATCCATAGCTAGTGCCATTGTCCTGCCAGTGCATGGGGCCATTAATACTACACAGGACTGTGACTTTCAAAAATGTGCAGAGACATAGCAGATGGATTTTCAGCAATGGATTCCTGAACTGCCGTGAGTGGATAGCTGGGATGTATATCTTTATGTTGGCATCAGCTCACTTCGCCACAGAGTACATCAACAGAAAGGGCTACTTCTCTGTGGTTTTGCAAGCACTGGTGGATCACTGGGGATGATTCCCCATATGGTTTACACCAAAATTTAACTATATCAAGAACTAAAACCTTTTGTAGACCTAGTACAACTTTCTCATGTAGACAAGCTTAGAGGTCACAGGGAACAAGTGACAATCAAGGTCAAGCTTCTGAAGAACTTCCAGAGCTGTAGGAACAGCCAGTGGAGGTGGGCAGTGAGGTAGCAGACTGCACACATTTCTTTACTCAAGCTCCTCCCACCCTTCATTTCTTCTTGCCTGAGAAGATGACCTGTGTCCAGTTGGTGGAGAATGGTCTTACTATATATTTTAGAAATGCGTATCTGTCTGTCTGTCCATCCATCTCTGAGTCGGTTTGTTCAAAAACGCCTCCTAAACAGTAGATGATACTCTAGGACCACCAAATTAGGTATGCAGCTTTCTTTTATGATAACATTACGCAAGGTCATAGTTTGGTTTGGCTAGGACAATGGGTTATGCCCAGAATTCGATTGTTTCTCATAAAATGGAAAAGGAAGGGTCTGGTGGGAGGGACAGTTATATGCGGAATGACCATAGGGGGCAGAAAGGAGCCAGCAATAGGGACCCAGACAGTTATAACTCCATTAGTCCATCAGAGGATAGGGGTGGTGAAAAGGATAGCTATCTATTATATATTTCAGAGAGTTTGTCATTTTCTGTTTATGTCTGTCTGTGCCTGTCCCCAGCTGGGGAACATGCACCTCACCCCAAGTTGTGCCCGCTGCAACAGCCACGGACAGGCTCTTCTCACCTAGTCCCAAGCTGCTGCAGTGAGAGGACTGGGGTTGTCCTCTCTCCCTGGGGCAGCCTCCATACTGAATCCCTCATCCACAGCCCCACCCCAGAGCAATGATTTAAATCAATACTCAAATAAGATTTGTTTTTCAAGGGCCCAATCAACGCCAGGTAAATCTTCTAGCAGTGCCATAAAGTCTGCTGGAGCAGTTTCTTTTAAACTTCAGAAATAATTTCAGTAGGAGGCTAAGCAAACATTTGAACCTTTTCAACCCCTCCCTGAAGTCCTTCCCATCTATTCCTATTTGAAGGGAAACAGCTATGGAACAAAGTTCTCACCATCACTGAATTTGTTCCCATATCTTTGTTTATACTGCACTTGCACAGATCTGCAAGACCATCACTGTTTATTTTTGCAGTGTGCAGTGATCAGAACAGTAATCGCTTTGGCATTCAGCATACCAACATCAGTGCAAACAAAGCTTGCTGTCAGCAGCCACATCGCAAATCTGGGCTCAAAAAATTTTGAGCTCTCCAAATCTTCTTCCAGTCTTGGCTCAAATTTAACAGCTAGGGAGGTAAGCCATGGAAGAAGCAGCAGAAGTTGGGAGAACAGAGAGCCTGCACCCAGGAGAGGAAGTCTCATTCATGTCATGAAAAGTCTCTTGTAAAATTCCCATCTGTTGCTATTTGTATTATAATTCCAACTGAAACATGAATACTGTGTTTTGCCTTTCAAGGAGCACAATATTGTTTGTCTCCAAATGATGGGTGGAGCAAGGCTCAACTCTAATATAAGTTTAGTTACTTAAGTGTGAAACATTTTTAAAAAGCAATTTTTGTTACAAGCTATCCAAGACAAACAGACCCCATATATTGGAAAATGATCAAAGGGTGGGATGGCTCAAGGGATGGTTTACCAGGATCTCTCACCGTTAGGTCCAAAATTCCAATTCAACTTCTGTCAACAGTGATCAGAATTGGTAACCACACGATGGGGGGTTGGTGGCTTACCAGAAACATGGTCACAGTTCACTTAATGGCCAAACATCCATTAAAAATAATCCACGTTATGATTTAAGGATGTTTATGCATATGCTGTTATAGTGATTGTGAATGAAGTCAACCTTTGAAAGCAGTCTCAACAACAATACAGTATCATGAGTTATTTCCTGCTTTATAGTTATTTCCTATTTTAAGCATAGTAAAACACTGTGATAAAGAGTTGGCAACCGTGGATTTAAAAAAAATTGTTATCACTGTACGTGGATTTGGCTTTTGTTTATTTTTTTGTAACTGTTGACAGTTTTATCACTCTCAAACCTTAATAACCCTAGGAGCATAGCAACTTTTATTTAGGGGAGAGAAACTGATGTTTGAGAATGACAGATGAGCAGGGTAAACCTGCAAAATACTTCACATTCCTATAGGCTGCCAATCCAAATCTAAAATGCATCCAACAGACTACAGAACTGAAGCTTTTCTAGTTTGGCTCAGCACTACTTAAAACTGTGTTTATTTTTTTTAACATGCTGATAAACTAGCCTGCTAAACCACAGAGAGGGGAAAAAAGATTTTGTTATTTAAAGCACAGGAGTGGGAGTCAAGTGATCAGGATTCTCTCTCTGGATTGTCACAATGTTCATTGGCAAAGTCACTTTCTGGGCTCCATTTTCTTCAGCTATTAAAATAAAGGGAGATCTTGTTGT